CCACCCAAAGCACACAGTTCACATCAGGGTTACTCCCTAGTGTTAACAGTATGTGAGATCCACCATTGTGGTATATTGTGTAGAACAGCTTCAGTGCCTGCCAGAGCTCTACCTTCAACTCCTGTGCCCTACTTGATGCCCCGCCCCCAGTCTAATAAAGTTTTCCTTTCAGGGACTATAATTTTCAGTTCTGGAATTTCCTTTTGATTCCTTGATATATTTTCCACTTAAAAAAAATACTTTCACCGGATGTGGTGGCACACGCCTTTAATACCAGCACTTGAGAGGCAGAGGCAGGCAGATCTCTGTGAGTTCAAGGCCAGCCTGGTCTACATAGTGAGTTCCAGGATAGCTGGGGCTACAAGGAGACCCTGTCTCAAAAAGACCAAAAAAAAAAAAAAAAAAAAAAAACTTTCTAGGGGTTAAAGAGAAGGCTCAGTGGTTAAGAGTACTAGCTGTTCTTCCAGCTGACCCGGGTTTGGGTCCCAACACTCAAATGACAGCTAACAACTCTCTGTAACTCCAGTTCTAGGGGAATCCAGTGTCCTCTTCTGACCTCCGTGGGCATTGCATGACATGGGTGCACTTACATACAGGCAGGCAGTATACTTATACACATAAAATAAAAATAATAAATAAAATATTTTTTTAAAATACTTTCCGTGGGACTGGAGTGATGGCTCAGCGGTTAAGAACACTGGTTGTTCTTGCAGAAGACCCAAGTTCAAATCCCAGCACCCACATGGCAGCTAACAACTGTCTGTAACTCTAGTTCCAGGGTATCCGACAGCCTCGTCAGTCCTCTGCATGCATTGCATGACATGGGCACATTTACCTACATGCAGGCAATACACGTAAAATAAAAATAATAAATAAAAAAAATTTAAATACTTTGTTTCTTTAGTCATTATTTGAACATGGATATGGCTCTGCTTTGAAGTCTTTGCTAAACTCAACCTCTGGGCCAACTCAGTATCTCCACTACTTTTGTTCTAGTAATGAAGATTACACTCTCCTGTCTGTTTTTCCTATGTAACTTTGTTGAAAATTCAGATGACTTTTTATTAGCAACAGTACAGAAGGCTCTTAGATGTCTCTTTGCCATCACTTCCACTGGCATCTCTTGGGTCTCCCAAAGCATTGAGTAGTTCCTTAGAAAAACAGAGGTTGTAGATAAAGGAACATGTCTAGGACTCCAGTGTTTTCAGGGTCTCTCTCTTAAATACTTGGCTTAGTGCTCACCCCTGCTGAAGTGACAGCCCTAGGCTGACAGAGCTATCAGCTCTCCACAGGAGCTTTTGCCTTGTTTTATCCATCCACACCATATCTCCTGTGTGCTGCTGCTGGGGTTTTTTTGTTTGGTTTGCTTTGCTTTTCCCAAGTTAGTTAAAGAAATCATGGGTTTTCTGAGCCCCATGGTTCCCATCAGGGCTGAGCAGTTTTTCACCAGCATTCCCTTCTCTGTGTATGTGTGCCTCTGCTCAGTATCTAGGACTCTGAAATGGTGAGTTTTGACAGTTTTGTCATGTGTGTGTACATGTACATACACTCCAATAGGTGTTTGGGCATGCCTGAGGAGGCCAGAGGTCAACCTTGGGTGCTGGTCCTTAGATGCCATCTACCTTGTTTCTCTCTCTCTCTCTCTCTCTCTCTCTCTCTCTCTCTCTCTTTAAATTTATTTCTTTCTATTTTATGTGTATGAGTGTTTTGCCTATATGTATATAAGTGTATCACATGTGCAGTGCCTGCAGAGGCCAGAAGATAGCATCAGATCCCCTAAAACTGGAGTTACAGACCAATTTTTGCTGCTGTGTGGGTGCTAGGAAATGAACCTGGGTCTTTTGGCAAAGCAGCCAGCACTCTTAACCACTGAGCCATCTCTCCAGTCCCTAAAACTTTTTTTTTTTTTTTTTTTTTGTCTTTTTGAGACAGGGTCTCCCTGTAGCTCCAGCTTACCTGGAACTTGCTATGTAGAGCAGACTGGCCTTGAACTCACAGAGATTCAACTGCCTCTGCCTCCTGAGTGTTGGGACTAAAGATGTGTGCCACCACGCCTGGCCATTTACTTCCTTTTTTTTTTTTTTTTTTTTTTTTTTTTTTTTTTGTCTTTTTGAGACAGGGTCTCTCTGGCCTGGAACTCACTATGTAGACCAGGCTGGCCTCGAACTCAGAGCTCCTCCTGCCTCTGCCTCCTGAGTGCTGGGACTAAAGGCATGTACCACTACACCTGGCTCCCTAAACTTTGTATGCGCATGGGTGTGTGCCTGTGTGTTCCTATATGTATGCATTCAGTGGAGGCCAGAGAAGGACACTGATGTCCTCTATCACCTCTCTGCCTTAGTCCCTTGAGGCAGGGTCTTTCACTTAGCTTAGTGCTCTCAATGTTTTGTCTAGCAAGCCCCAGCAATCCTCCTGTCTCTGCCCTCCCCTCCAAGCACTGGGGTTATAGGCATTCAAGGCCACACCTAGATTTTTGTGTGGGTACTGGGAATCTGAACTTGGGTTCTCATACTTGCCCAGCAAGCACTCTTTTTTTAATATAGTGTTTAAATTTAATGTGTATGACTGTATTGCCTGTATATATTATAATAT